ATAATGCACGAAAATGTCGAGCACCTTGTTCCTTTTCTCAGAACACTACGGCCCAGGAAAACTAGTAGTAGCGGCTGTTGATCGAAATTCATCGGCAGTCGCGCATTCATGTTGTTTACATGTTTACGATAACAGATTAAATTGAAACTTTTTGATTGATTCGGGCTCGGATGTTTCATGTGTGACACCGACTTCTAAGTTTAAGAAAATGCATCCTGATTCGCTTCAATTATTTGCCGCGAATAATTCCAGAATTTCTACGTATGGAACAAAATTGTTAACTGTGAATTTAGGACTTAGACGAAACTTTTCTTGGAAGTTTTTAATCGCCGATGTACAGTGCCTATAATAGGAGCCGACTTTTTAAGGCATTTTGATCTTTTAATCGATTTAAAACGAGGTAGGCTTATCGATAATACTACGAAATTAACTCGTATTGGTTCTCTTTCCGATTCTAAAAATTATTTTTCGGTAAAGTTAATATCTGGTGATTCACCATATCACAGAATCTTGAAAGACTTTCAGGAAGTACTGAAGTTAAAATCCGATTCGGGTAGAGTAAAGCATAGTACGGTTCATTACATCGAAACAAACGGTCCTCCTGTGCACAGTAAACCGTGTAGGTTAAGCCCTAAGTTATACGAAGCAGTAAAAAAAATAATTTAAATTTATGATAGATCAAGGTATTTGTAGACCATCAAAATCAGCATGGTCATCACCTCTTCATGTAGTTTCTAAAAGTTCGGGCGACATACGGCCAGTAGGAGACTACCGAAAACTAAACGCGTGCACCGAACCCGACAGATACCCTATCCCGCATTTACAAGACTTTAATAATACGCTTAGCGGAAAGACAATTTTTTCAAAAATTGATATCGTTCGGGCATATCATCATATACCAGTCCATCCAGATCATATACCGAAAACTGCAGTTTGCACCCCATTTGGTCTTTCGAATTTCCGTTTTTAAATTTCGGACTGTGCGGAGCAGCTCAAACCTTTCAAAGGTTTATGAACGAAATTCTTGGAGATCTAAAATTCGCCTACGTCTACTTAGATGATATTTTGATATTTAGTGATACGGAAGATGAGCATAAATCTCACCTACGTACTGTTTTTGAAAGATTAACTTCATATGGATTGACAATTAACGCTTCGAAATGTGTTTTCGGCGTTCCGGAAATATCTTTTTTAGGCCATATAATCAATAAAGATGGTACCAAGCCTCTGACGAACAAAGTGGAACCGATACTTAACTACCCCACTTCCTAAAACGGTAAAAGATTTGCAGAGATTTTTAGGATTTTTAAATTTTTACCGTCGATTTTTACCCAACGTAGCCCAGAAATCAAATACATTTAACTTCGTATTTAAAAGGGGCTAAGAAAAATGATAAGACAATCCTGAATTTGTCTGAGGAAGCGCGGAGTGAATTTCAAAAGTGCAAACAGCTAATCGCGAATGCTGTTCTTTTGGCACACCCGAAGAAAGATGCCCAGTTGGTTTTACCAGGTTGATGCGTCAGACTTCGCGATCGGTGGAACGCTATCACAAATAGTTGATGGAAATTTACAGCCTCTCGCATTTTTCTCACGAAAGCTTTTCGCAGGCGGAAAGGAACTATAGTGCGTATGATCGGAGAGCTATTGGCAGCTTATGCTGCTATTAGGCATTTTAAGCATATGTTGGAAGCACGGAACTTTTCTTTAATCCACCGATCACAAACCGCTCACGTATGCATTCCGACAGCGTTTGGATAAGTGTTCACCTCGTCAGGCTAGGCAGTTAGACTTTATCTCACAATTCACCACTGAAATTCGCCATATAAAAGGTTCGGAGAATATCGCTGCCGACGTACTTTCGCGTACAGAAGCAATAAGCATGCCTAACCCTATCGACTATGAGGAAATCGCTAAAATGCAAGAAATCGACCCAGAATTACAAACATTGCTTAAAGAGTCAAAAGTTCTACATCTCAAAAAAGTTACCTTACCGAATTGTAGCTTACCGATATATTGCGATGTGTCAACAAGTAACGCCCGTCCTTACATTCCTCCGGCATTCCGTGAGAAAGTTTTTGCCACCTTGCACAATTTGTCTCACCCCGGCATTCGCGCATCAACAAAGTTAGTATGTTCACGGTTTGTTTGGTCTTCCATCCGCAAAGATTGCGCGCGAAATGGGCACGGCAGTGCATTCCGTGCCAGAAAGCAAAAGTAAGCAGGCATACTAGAACCCCGTTAATGAAGTTTCCAGACCAATCACAGAGGTTTGATCACGTCCACCTTGACCTTCTTGGTCCCCTACCTCCTTCTCAAAATAATTATTACTGTCTAACTATGATAGATAGATTTACTAGATGGCCCGAAGCAGTACCCATACCAGACATAACAGCACGCACAGTAGCACAGGCTTTCTATGACCACTGGATTACTCGATTTGGTTGTCCGACTGTTATTACTACTGACCAAGGGCGATAGTTTGAAAGCGGCTTATTTCGAGCCCTTTCCCAATTATTGGGAATCAAGAGGATCAGGACGTCTCCGTACCACCCACAGGCGAATGGACTGATCGAGGAATTCCACCGTCCTTTGAAAGCTGCCTTAAAAGCGCACGATACCAGTGACTGGGTGGCTGCCCTTCCAACGCTGCTGATGGGTTTCCGCGCCGCTCTCAAAGAGGACATAGGAGCAACCACTTCTGAACTGGTGTATGGAAAGACTATCCGTCTCCCAGGAGAATTTTTCAATCCGACACCTCCGGACGCGTTCCCCAAACAGTTTGTGGAGGATTTAAAATCTCCTTTGCCAGTGTCCGCCCGACCACGACTTCTAGCCACGGCCAGCGAACCATGTTTCATTCATCCATGACTTCACAAGTCCACATATGTGTTTGTTCGACACGACGGAGTTAGGAAACCACTTCAAACTCCTTATGATGGACCAATTTAAGGTGCTGCTAGAAAGACAAGATAAAACGTTTGATTTCGAAATAAGTGTTTCGAAACGTTTGATTTCGAAAAAAGGGACTAAGCAAACGATCTCCATAGATAGACTGAAACCCGCTTTTGTAACCATGGACTACTCTTCTCAAGTTGCTTCCAAGAGTGTGAAAAAAACTTCGGACATTTGTATCACCCGTTCTGAACGATTAATCCGACCCCCGCATTGGTATGTCACATTTTGTTGACACTGCGGAGGGAGTATGCAGCGGCAGCGCCAAACAGGCGATACGGACTTAAAAACTGTACCGCTTAAAAACTGTACTGTACCGGACTTAAAAACTGTACTGGACTTAAAAAAGCGCCAATTGGCGAAACAGTAAACCCGTTTGGCAAACCTACAGGCTGACAGGGAGAGAAGAATTTTCCCCGGCAGTCAAGTGGAACTACTTCAACAAATGTGTGCGTCTCTGTTTCGCCGAGATATGTGAACTTGTGTACTCGCATCTGTACTGTGCTCTGAATTTCTTAAGCCGTTATAATGTACCCGGCAACTGTTACTTTTCCTTATTAAATTTGATTATTAATTGTAACATGTCTATCTTAACTAAGATTTCGGCTTTCCTAGTTAATGTTAGGGATATTTTCGTATGCACGTGTTACTCACACGTACATCACCTTCATTTACACACCGGTCAATTAACGCACTTTTCCCCTTTCGTTCCAAATCATACAGAAATTCAAATTAATCTTACAACATTCAGCCATTCTACCGTCTAAACCACAAAACAAGCAATGCACTTCCTGACCAACACACACCACAAGCCCTTATATATCTTTTTCCTGTCATTCAAAATTTATGGCAACACGCAATCGATTATGTCATAATAGGGTTTCCATAACATTCAACTACTCAGGTTACCATAAATGAAACAAGAACTTCGTGATAATACAAGGGACACCTTCAATCTGCTCTAACCACTTAAGGCTTATGCAGTGCATAAAAATTGTGCCCAGTGGAGTTTCTTCTGGTCCTTAATTCTACAGCAAGTAGTTCCATAAATTCTAAAATTTTTCCACCCAATAATTTTGCTTCCCAGTGCCTTCCTTAAATTCTAAAGATTTTTGATATCCCTTAATTTTTTTGCTCAGTGCTCTAAATATATACCAGCTCTGATGGCAGTCCTGGCTCCTTTGAAACAAATCAGTAATTCTCAATTAAACCAGCATTGGCATAAGAGTATCATTTACAAAATCTTTTTCTTTCTGTTTTTTTTTTTTTTTTTTTTTTGCAGAGGGAAAGAAATTTGTTACATTTCTTCTGATCAACAATTTACAGCACAGTTCGCTGAAATCTGTAATCATTGCCAAACATAATGTCAACATAAAAAGTTAGCATTCCCTTAGGCATCAATTACTAATATTTAAAATAATAGGTGTTTAAATGTAATTGTATATTGATAATTAATTTATTATGATATATTTAAGAGTGCTGTTCGGAGATTTATGATAAATCTGGTTTTAGTTAAATATGCAGTTAATATGTAACTTAAATAAAATGCAAAAAAGAACTGTAACTACAGTCTTGTCACCCCATTTGCACACTAGTCCCCCATTATTGGTAATATGAGTAATTACATAAACCACAATAATCCCTTTTTGCCTCTAAAGTAAAAAAGTAAAATTTCAAGTTTGTTTTACTTGAAAATGGAATCTTCATAGTTTTTTATTATGTATACATTTATATACAATATGTACAACCTTCAAATTATACTTATAAGATGAGAACGATCACATAAACAATTTTATGGGCCTGTAGCATTCAAACTTTATTGAGAACCTTTCATACTACTATGAAAAAGTGTTCTGAAAAAAAAAGGGGGAGGGGAAGGGTTGCCATAATATTCGGCTCCCTTTGAATGCTCAGTGTGCCACTGTAAACTTCAAATATTCTACAGAAGCTCAAAGGAGCAAAAATTTTATATGTCCAGTTTTGAGTATTAATTATAAAATGGCTTATAAAACTAATGAAGGAGTTCAATGCAAGATCATATTAAATTCAAATTTTTAATTTTAGGCTATGGGTGAAAATATATATGACACTATCAAGGGACTCTCCTTCCAGACTTATACACCTCAAGAAATTGAGAAGCTTAGTGCTGTTGAAGTTACAAATCTTGTAGTTTTGGACAATGTCGGGCATCCAACTCCAGGAGGATTATATGATCTCCGCTTTGGTAATTATGAAGCCAGATTTTAATTCTGAAATTTATTTTGCAAAATATAATTATTTTGACTTTCTAACAGTGTTTTTTCTTAACAGTTTAGTAGAATGAATTAGATTTAACTGGAACCATTGGAAACTTATTTAATATATGAGAGTTGTACATCTATTCTGAAAAGTGGTGTGCTTTAAAATTTTGCTATATGAATGTTAAAAATTTGATTCAGGGGCATAAAATTTTCATTAGAACAGTCTCATGCTTGTGGTTGTCAAGCACAATGAAAAATTTCCTCTTCATAAATAAGTCATCACTTTCTGTTTGGAATAATATGAAGTAGTTATTTATAATTAGGTAAAAATCATTATTTTTTAAACACGGATTTTGCATAAAACTATTCATTTTGAGGGTGATCAGACATAGATCCCTCTTCGGGAAAAAAATCTGCAAAGTGAGAACAGCAACAAATCTATTATTGTCTGTATTCTATTATACTGAAAGTAGTGGAAGGAGCGAAGGGAATATTAACATAGTGCCATGTGTCAAGGAAAATATTAACGAAACATGAAAAATTGAGCTATTAGAATTCTAAAAGCATTGGGAAGGACTGGATAAGAATTAATGTCATTAAGTAAAGATTGGTACTACATTCAAGTTTTTATGTGTTGCAACTACTGCTTGCCAATTTTGAACAAGCAACAATTCTGAGTTTTATGTAAGGTTAAAGTATAAATCAAGAATTTAATATATAAACAGCTGATATTTGCAATTTATTATATGTTTTAATAAATAAACAGTTGTAACAGAGATATAGAAGGTTGAACTGGATTCTGAGGATTTGTGTTTGTATTTTTACAAATTATACTACTATATGGATGGAATTTTACCAATTATTTCTTTTTTTAATGCACAGTCTTCAGAAAGTGAGTATAATTTACTTTCTGTCCCCACTTTAGAAGAGATTTAATAGGATTTGATATAGCAAATTTAATCATTAAAGGAAAATGCAATTTCTCTGGATAATTCCTTAGCACGTGGTGTCGACTATGCTTCAGTAATGCTAGGCTTAAAGACTAGTATTGCTGACATCTTAAAAAAAGGGAAATTCAGATTTGCAAATTATAATGTGCATCTGTTACCTCTTAACGACTAAAAAAGGGACAACTTCTTTACCAGAAAAAAAAATGTACACGAACACATTGTTGATATTTATTATTATCTCGAAATGAGTTCTAAAAAGAAGGGAAAATTGAAACAATTCTAACAGCTGCATAATACTAAAATAAGAAAAATGGGTAAAAGTATAGTTTAGGGTACCCCTTGGCGATTTTTGACGGTACATGGATACCGATTTTGTGCAATTCTTTGACTTATTAGTTTGGCTTGCAAAGCAGCTATTTTTGTGCCAAACATCGCCGTTACACAAAGCCAAAATAACAAGACAAACAATTGCACAAACTCGGTACCCATGTACATATCGACTTATTTTCACTTAAAAAAAAATCCCTGAATTGCACAAAAATGGCATTGCGCACTCCTTTGACCTTTATCCATGTACACACGTCGACCTAGTTTTCACTTAGAAAATCCCCAATTGCACAAAAATGGCATTGCGAACTCTTTAAACTTTATTCATGTACAACGTCGACCTATTTTCACTTAAAAAAAAATTCCCAGAATTGCAGAAACTTGCATTGTGCACTTCCTCTACTTTGTCATGTACACATCGATTATTTTCATTAAAAAGTCAAAGGAGGACCAAATTCTAAATATAGGCAAACAAAATACATACTCTCAATAAAATATTTTAAACCAAACATAAATAATTAAAAGAAAAAATATGTCTACAATTCAGCACTACCAAAAGCAAATATTCACTTACCATTATTTTCGAGTTCGCTTCGTACCCCAGAGTACCTAAAAATCAAAATATCAGTCTACTCGAATGACTTTTTTTCACCAGGTACTCTTTCTGATCGAACGCTTCACATGTGACCATCTAAACCTTTCTTCCTACAAACCCATTCAAATCCTCTAAACGGCTTTTATGTTCGACTGCATATCCTTCCTACATACAGACACTTATAACGGCGACAATTAAACCTTTATTTACAACACCAGTCAATTTAGCTCTTTTGCCCTTTCCTCCAAATCATACAGAAATTCATATTAATCTTACTAAAGCGCATTCTATAGTCTAAAGAATCAAACACACACACCACAAAAATGCTTACAACATCCCTGATTCAAATTTCCCAGAATCATGCAACCAGATTAACGTCACAATAGATTTCCATAACATTCAATTACTCGCTACCATAACTTCGAGGGGTACCTTAAAGTCTACTCTATAAACTCTACGAAAAATTCAAAATATATATATACACTGCAAAAGGAAGGAAAAAAAAACTTCTGTACCGTTCTACTGAGCTAATTGATGAAATTCACATTGTGTTTTTCATGCCTTGAAAGCGTGACTTAGTTTATATATTAGATTTATATATAACATCATTCTAAAATAGGTACATTTACATAAAATCGAACTTTTTCTGAAATGACATGCAAATTCCCCCCCATATTTCGATTCTACGATTCAGATTATGCCTAAATATTAAATTTTGTAAAATTTGGTGCGAAATTTATGAAGAAATTCAAAAATTTATCTTTGCACATTTTTTTCAGTTTGCACCAAGAATAATTTACTTGGTGAAATTCTTCATTCATAGCAAACCTATTTTCCTTTCCTGTTTTTTTTTTCATTGTACAGGAGCAGAAAGAAAAAATCATCATTCATACTTTCAAACAATTTTAACAAAGTGCATAAAACACATTTGGCTTTATCGCTTATAACAAATATGCCGAATTTCAAAACGTGCCAATATGTAAATTCACGTATATCTTTTAAAATTTTGAATAAAAAACTCTAATGTTTTGAAAGTATGCCTAGAAATACATCTACTTTAAGATAACGTTAAAAATTTTATAGATTATAAAACAAAATTTTTAAATTAAAAATTTTAAAAATAATTCATGAAAAATATGCAAATTATATTTATTAAGCGTAATTTTGAATTTGGAAGAAGAATCAATAGATTTATTAAAAAAAGAATAAATAAATATATATCAAATTCGATTAACACTGAGGAGCTAAAATTTTGAGAGCTAATTTCTTAAAAAGTACATGCTTACAATACTTGGCAATATTTTTACAATACTTGGCATTTTGGCATAATTTGAGTTATAGAATTGAAATATGCGAAATCATTGGCATGCCAGTCCAATTTTGTGTAAAAATACCTATATTAGAAGAATGCTATATATAAATCTAATACATATCCTGAGTTGCACTTTCGAGACATGAAAAATGCAAGTTGAATTTCGTCAATCAGCCCAGCAAAACGGGAGATATAGAACTATCTCATTTTTTTTTTTTTTTTTTTTTTTTTTTTTCCTATGGGCAGTGCACATGCTGGTTATCTTTAAAGAAATGTTTATCTAGAATCCTCTACCAATGGGACCCAGTTCTTCTGTTTTTTAAAGAGGAAGTAAATGCTTCTAAGCTTCTAAATGAAGTGAGTAATTGCTTCTAAATGAGTTAAGATAAAAAGCTCTGTTTAAAATTATAAAATACCTACAGGAGTAAATGGAGATATAGTTATTACTTCCACTGTCAAAAATAGGGAAGAAAAATAAAGTAATTTTGCACCTGGGAGCAATTTTATTGGCAATTCTCAAAGTAATACTAAAGAATATAAGCATAAAGCTGAATACAAAGTTCACTAAAAAAAAGAATTGCTTGACCAGAGAAACATTTTCTGATTACTATAAGTTTATCTTGTGAAGACTGAATACTTATGCTTTTGTCTTCAGACCTTAACAAAGCTTTTTACTTTTTTTTTTTTTTTTTTTTTGTGCACTTCATTTTGCCATCATGGGATTTTTTAATGTAACTCTATGGTACAAAATTACATTAAATCACATTTTACAATCAGCAGTTAGTGATCTTAAAGACATTTTATCAAAGTTCGTAAAAACAATCTTTGTTTTCTCTTCTTATTCTATACATCATATGATTTATAGTAAAATAGAAAATCAGAAGAAGGAGATTTGGTAATAGAGGCTGCAGCTGACAAAATAGTCAAAGAGCTTTCGGAGGAAGACAAAAATTAGTTTTATTTCTACATAAGAAGCTACTTCCGTCGAGTATATGATAACAAACATAATTTTCAATCATTGGTGGTAACATAAATTTCCAATCATTGGTGAAGTAAATTTACATGCTAAAGATGCAGATGTTTCTGTTCTAGCAAATGCATCTTTTCTCTGATACTATATAAGATATCTTTTGATTTGATTTTTAGTTTAATTTCATTTAGGTGTGAAAGATGATGATATTGATGTTGCAATTCATAAAATTGGAATCTCAATTTTGCAGTGTACCTTTAGAAAACTGGGTGAAGTTATAAAACCAGCTAGGCTTGACACATAATGGTGTAACGTTGAGACCATAGAGCTGTAATGTACTAGAAAGAGAAACGGCAACCCTGAAGGGGAACAGCAATACGAACCACGTGACATTTGGTACATTTCCCAGATCGTATTTCCCGCGAATCTTCCTTACCATTACAGTTCTATGGAGAATTTGTGAGAAGCAAGTGTTTTGCGTGTAAGCGCATTGTTTGGACTTCAAAAATGATACTTTCGTGCTCCGCATATGGATGTAATTCCAGATATTGAAAAGATGGAGGAACATTTCACAACTGAGATTTTTCTAATGTTTTTAAACCTAATTTTTAAAATGTAAGGTTTTTTTATCCCACTCTACTTGCCTTTTTCTAATAAAACATAGTTTTCTAATTTATATATATATGAATACTTAAATAACATTTAAATAAAAGTTCTTAATTATATGTATGTTTTCTAAATAACTGTTTTCTGAAAAAATGTTTAAAATTTAGTATACAATATAATTTAATTAGTAGTACTCTGCTTGGCGACATTTTTTTTATACCAAC